AAATGGTTTTATTTGGTACTACGTATTATAATTTGCACATAAAATGTTTCACAATTTTGGTGTAACATGCTGCGCGCGCACCCTGCGCACCCTGAATTTCCAACACTGGTGTTAACCAAATTCAAAGGTTAATCATAGTAAAGGCTTTATTAAATAGTAACAGGTTTGAGCCGCAGACGGCTATAGCGACTTGTGTCTAAAAATCGTGGATTTTCAAATAAATTAATTTATATTCCAAAGTTGTTACACAAACTTACAAAATCCATTATGTCTTTACCATTTTAATAAACAACAATATTTTCCATCTTTTCTCATCAGGTAACATCGGATAAAAATCTTAGTTTCGAGTAAAAAGTAATACTGTTTGAATAACTATAGCTTTTTACATAAATCAACGCGAGTTTGGATTAATTACGTTTGAGATAAACCCGATTCGTTACACAGATCGTAATTTCTATTTTTATTTTAAAAAAAGGTTCATACCACAATAAGAAAACAGAATCAAAACAGAATCAAATATATTAGAAACACGCAAGTAGGTACTATATTATAGCTGTTATTTCGTTCAGTTCAAGCTTTAATTAAATTGATATAACTATTAGTACTTTTTGATTCATCAACGGCGCAACTTCGCCATTACCAATATCATCATTGACCAATTTTGCAAGTAAATTAAATTCTTTTCAAATGTTTTAAATGAATGCTTTATTTTTTAATAATGAATCCAATTTTTTATGAATGTCATCTAAGTCACACCAAATATGAAATTCTTTCGAAAGTGATGGTGATTTGGAAGAAAGCAATGGTATTATTATTAATTGTATTGGTGATACTTTCGGAATCATTAGAATTCTAGTGATAGTAGTAATGGAATTGAAGATAACGAGGAAGAAAATGCAACAAACAGTAAAAAAACTCTAATGATGATAGCGAGGAAGAAGAGGAGGAAGAACAAAATGAGGAATGTGTTGTCGCAATAGTAGTTGAGAAATTGGGTAGTTTGATTTAATGAAGAAGAAAGTGTATTAGATGATGTTGGTCCAATTTTATCTTGGTTCAGAAATTTTACAATTTATATTAATATTCAATCACCAGTTTCCATATATATATATATATATATACACACACATTTTTTTATTTTTATTAACTTGCTATATTTTTTTAGCTTTAATTATAAAATTTGATATTGAATTTACTTGAACTAAAAAAGGTATATGGAATTTTTACTTTTCGTATATATTTTAATCACACATACCATGGACTTCAACAAATATGTTTTGAATCAATTCCTAAGATTAACAATAAAATTTGGGAGAATATATAATAATAATGGACATGTAAAGCTTTCTCTCACGTGATCGGATAATAGTAAGCATTAATTCAAAAACAAACTGGATTTTTAAGGATTGTAATAGGGGCCAATGCAACATGCTTACATATGTCAAAGTTTTTTAAAGTACATAACTAAACCTTCAAGACTTACTATCCAAAGAAGTGTAAAATTTATGAAACCTTCCCATATGAACCATGCCGATCATATGGCCTTTGTCCTTAAATTTAATTCATTTATTCAACAAATAAATCTATGCCCTCCGACACTAATACTAATACAGAATGGATGCATTCAGGGTAAAACGTATCCGTAAATGAATAATAATTAATTATTCCTGGGTAACATATAAGCCCTGGTGGGCCCTCCTGGTAGGGGGGAGAGCTTACATGACCCAGGGGTAATTGTTTTAAAACACTGGGTGTAATTCGTGAGAAACAAGGATGGCTCATTACATATAATTTCGGAATAGTCCGGTCAGAGTATAACTTCAAATATAATGTATTGGTGCCAATCATAAGCTCGTTGAATGTGAGGCTCTCAAATGAATTTTATAATGAACGACTGAGCCTTTATGTGAAAAGAAAAGTAAAATAATATATTTTAGACTTTTAATATGGTGTATACTAATATATTTATTTACTTTTGATATTTCTCTTCTCACATTTGAAAATGAAAATAGTATAAAAAGAAAAATAATGATGGTGAATGAAAATTATAAAAAAAGAAATTGAATATTATATTATTATTACCTAATTTAATTTTAAAAGATATATATTGATTTGATGCCATTACCATGTTAAAATCGTAACTAATCAGCAATTTGATTATTAAAAATTTTGGTCAAATATTTGGAATAATACGTGTATATATAGTTCTGTTATAAACAATAATAATCACTTTTCACAAGATCAAAATAAAATAAAATAAGTTTTATTTCTTTTTTAATACATTAAATATAGTATGCCTTACATGTGCATCCATATAAAAACTTCCTCATTGATAAATGATCTGCGAACTAAACTGTAAAATATAATAGTGCTACTACTATCTATATAAGTAAAACGTACCATTCAATAATGAACAATAAAAAACAAAAAACGATTAAACCTCGCATCAAAACAGATACTTCTTCAAAATCGGAGAATTCACCTTCACAAACGCCTACATCACCAAAAAGAAAACAATCAAAAACACCATCTCCGCAAACAGCAACGACATTACCTCAAAAAATACAAAAAGAAGAACAAGAAGAACAACTTAAACATAAAGAAAAAAATGAACAATCACAAGAAGAACAGTTAGAGCAATCAGTTCAGAAAGAAGATCAAGATCAAAAACAACAATCAGTTCAGGAAGATCAAGATCAGAAACAACAATCGGATCATAAAGAAGATCAAGATCAGAAACTAGATCAGGACCAAGTGTTACAACAACCTGTAAAAAGAAGGCCAGGCAGACCACGCAAATATGCACCACAAGATCCTTCAAAACAAAAAAAGGCCATTAACAATGATCCAAAAAGATTTGAATACACTCAAGGCGAAGGTTCAACAACAACCAATGGAATGAATAGTATAAATCAATTAAATTATGACAAAATACTTGATGAGAAAGGAGAGAAAAAGATCACCAAAGATGGAATTTTATTAGGAGGTAAAAATTTTTTATTGTCATTATAGCTTTTTATTTAATTACAAATAATAATAATAATAATAATAACAATAATAGTTATTATTATATAGGTAGAAAATTTAAAGTGCCAGTTTTTCAATTACCTAGTGATAATACATGGTATATGTTATCAATGGATGCAGCAAAGGTTTTGGGTTTTCGTGATAGTTATTTATTTTTCTTAAGAAATCCATCATTACAACGAGTTTTTGCTACCGAAGAAGAAAGAGAATTCTTGATCAAAATAGGAATCTTACCTGCTGCATATCGCAGTAGGAATATTACTTTGGTGTCAGCTAGATCTACATACAGATTATTTGGTTCTAGAGTAATTCATAATGGAAAAAGAAAAAAAGATGATTATTTTGAGTCAAATTTGAGATATGATGATGATTTAAGTGATAAAGGAAATGATTCAGAAACTGAAAATGCAAACAATATCCTATCAAAAAAATTTAACAATAAAATAACAAAACCACGAAATCTTGCAAATGAGGCTTCGTGGATGTATCAATCAGCACTTCATGCCAGAGATTATAATACTAGATTGAAAATTCACCGTAAAGATAAACCTAAATTTTATGATGCTCATATCAATACTGAACTAGTCCCACAAGCGACACAGCCAACTCGAATCAAAGTGGAAACAATTTCAAAACCTGTATTTTTACCACTAAATAGTAATCATTCTCCAAAAATTCCTAAAATTAAATTTGAACCAACACCTTTTAATCCTTTAAAAAATTTAAGCCCAGAGATTTTAGAAGTAGTGCCACCTGAGATTTGTAAAATTATTGATGATATGAATAAAAATATTAAAGATGATTGTATTGATGATTGTATTGATGATGAACAAGATAAATATCCTATTGCATTGATGGATCATCAATTTCAATCATCGTATCCATTGTAAGTAAATTAAATGAAAAAAAATTTTTTATTTTAAAATTTTTTGTTTGCGTTTATCCTATTAATCTTGAGAAAATAATTATGTGTATATATTTAAACTAATTAAAATATAAATTTTGAATTAGGCACCGAACACGTTTTGGCCATGAAATTCCTGAAGCTTTAACAAAAAATTTTAATGAGTTAAATTCAAATACAAGTTTATTACAAAAATCACCATCTGTGCAATTTCCATTATCTAAAACTAATTTTACATTATCATCGCCAACAATAACAGCACCAGAAACACCAGAAACACCAGCTATATCAACAATAGCAGACATATCAACAATAGCAGACACATCAACAATAGCAGCCACGTCAGTATTAGCATCACAATCAATCCCACAACTTCCAGAGAATGTATGTGCAATGTGTTTTTCAACAACTTCACCTGATAATACAATTCCAATTAATGATGCGCCATGTTCAAATGAATACACTACAAAATGTTCTCACTGTAATCGTAATTATCACCCTTTATGTTTAGGACTTACTACCACTAGACTAATTGTTGCAATGGAAAGTTACCCATGGCAATGTAATGATTGTAAAACCTGTGTTGTGTGTCGAACATCAGGTGATGAAGCTACTTTACTAATTTGTGATGATTGTGATCGCGGTTGGCATATTAATTGTAGTGAACCAAAAGTTAATGAAGTTCCCCAAGGTGGTTAATTATTTATTGTTACTACTACTGCTATTAATTATTATATTAATATAATTGTATTTTTTTATTAATATTTATGTTTGTTTGCTTATTTATTTATTTACATTGAAATAATTAGGTCCATGGTTATGCTCAATTTGCGCACAATGCAATTCATGTGGTGAAAAGGCCAAATTGTTGGATAATGCAGCAAAGGATTACCTTCATCTTGAAGCAACGTCAGGCCAACCAAGTTCAAACTATCCAATTTATTTAGCTACAATATGTAACAAATGTAGTTTAAACTTCAAGGCAGACAGGTTTTGTCCAATGTGTTTGAAAACATTCTCCGAAGAAGGAGCAATGGAAGAAAATGAAGATGAAGATCGTGATATGGTATGTTGTGATGAGTGTGATCGATGGATACATGTAAGATGTGATCTTGAGATCACTCCAAATAGATATGAGGAATTGCAAGAAAATCCTAGCGCAGGATATAAGTGTCCACTTTGTGAAGGGAGAATTAAGGAATTAAAATATGGTGACCAGAAAGAACGTGATGCATTGGCCGGTAATCCTGTAGCAAAACCTGTTGCACAGGTCGCAGGACGTAAATTGATTAGGGGTATTGTGGAATTTAAAGGTAAAAGAGTTGTGGTACCAGAAATTTGTGGGTGGGGAAAATTGGCAATGTAAATGAATTTAATAAAATTGGTTGGTTGGTATTGTAAAAAATATATGGAAATGATGTGAAGGCTTTTTGGTTTCAAAATATATATTATAGTAAGAAAATCTGTTTATGTTAAATATAAAGAATGCTAATTATAATTACATGACTTTGTTTAATTAAAATTTTTGTTTCAATACAATAATACAAATAATATATATTTTCTAATTTCAAATAATGATGATTAGTATGTATCTGATAACATAAAATTTAAATCATAATGAAATCCTAAATTCTATAAGGTGTAAAATATTGTATTCAATATAATTTTTTTTTAGAAAAAAAAAACTATACACCAGAAAAATTATTTTGCCAATTCACCAGCTAATATGGTTCCAAGTTTTCCATATTTGTTTAAATCACTTCCAGTAGGTGCTAAAAGATGTGGTCCTTTTTTTGTAAGATCTGGTAAATAATTTGCAGGCATTCCAAATCCAACAGATGTCATTTCCACCAGATATACAACAGCTTGGTGTAATTGTTTGCCATATTGACTTATGATTGTTGACCACATATCCTTGGGAGCTATCATAAATAAAAAAATAATATACTATTTATATCATATTGTATGATAAATTTTAATTTTCAAATAATGCTAACCTTCAGGCACAACAGGATCAGAATTAAGTTGTGGAAACTTTTTTTGTTCAGGAAGCTCACCAATTCTCCAAAAAAATCTCCATTTTGGATCAGGTCTTTCTGAAATCAAAGGTCGACTTTCTTTTGGCATATTTTTCATAAAATAAATAAATAAATTATTATTATTATTATTATTATTATTATTATTATTATTATATTCACTATTGTGATTCATAATTATGGAAGTTTTCATGTTATATACATATATATATATATATATATACTTGTTCAATTATCTTTTGACAATTAATATCACGATGACATTTTGGTTCTTCTATCAATTCGGGTGTTACATAAACTTGGTATCCAACTTCTGGACGCGCATCTTTAAGTTTTGTCTTTTTGGGGGTTTCAATTAATACTACACTACTACTAATAATACTAAACACTATAATCATAAGGCTGATCAAAATAATCTTCAAGTAAATCCTAAAACAAATTTGAATAGAATAGAATAAATCGATTAATGGTTGATTTGTTGAGTGGACAGTGAGAGTATATTCAATCATCATGCTTACTAAAAACCTGGAATTATCATCTTCCGTCACACGAGGATCTTTAATCAATAAGGCACCATAATCTTTTAATGCTTTTGCTGTCTATTAGATACATGTACACATGCAAAGTTTACTTTCGATTCACGGTTTTCTTAAAAGTAAAAATTATATATATATAAAAAGGAAAGAAAGTGTAAACGATTTCTATTAACTTTATGACATTCTTCAATTGCCAGTTCAGAATTCTTATCATTCAAGTATAAACCAAGATCAATAATTGGAAGACTACAAGTTATTGTTGACATTTATTATTTTTTGGTTTATTTTGTTGTTGTTGTTGATTATTAGTTTATTGTTTTTTGTTATTATATTCTTTAAGAAAACCACTACAAAGAGTTGAAAAAAATTGAGACTATTGAAGTTGATAGATTGGTTGTGATAAGGATACTTGTTATAATTAAAAAAACTGGCTACAATTAGGTTGTAGAATATTTGTAAGTTTAATAATCAGGTGGTATAAACAAACAAACAGCATTTGGGTGGGTTGTATATAGTATTTTATTCTTAAAAAATATCACAATTAATGTTTACGTCAAAATCAAGATTTAGCAAATTATCCGAATTAGCCACGTGCGCAAACTTTAAATTCCAAATTCACGCACTGCGCCTCTACGTGATGCCTTGGATAGTCCAGCCAAATTGAAGGAGTTGACTAATTCAACATAAAATTTTTGGAGAGCATCTAGATTTTACTCCTCCACATACCTTGATTGCAAGGCCTAGAACATGTGCCAAATTAGCAACAGTTTAAGATTAAAACTATATATTAATATGTCTGATACCAGGAGCTATACTCCAATTGTTTTATTTTATTTAATGATGCTTGATCTGGGATTGATAATCACAATATGATGGATGATTTGTTGTTTATGGATTTTGCTTTAAACCAAAGATTAATCAAGGCTCTGAACAAACCCACTAAATTCGAACTGAATATATACTAACTATATAATACATATTAATATGAATGAATCGTGATAAATCTTTTAAGCACATTGCTATTTATTTTGGTAAAATTGCTCAACGCCACAATTGTACTATTGTGTAGATTGAGTTACCAGGATCTCTTAACTTCTTATTGATTATTTTCTTAATCCTATATCCTACTTTCTCGCAGATAAGTTTTTCTTTTGTAAAGACACAAGGTACATTTGCAAAATCACCACTATAAAAGTTTCTTATCACATTCTTTATTGCTGAACATCAATACCAACTATTATCCATTGCTGATGTTTCTCGGAAATTTCAATAGGGTCTAAATTCTCCTTTTTCCATCATCCTAAATTACAGATAATTTTCAATTCTAATTGATAAAGTGATGAAGGTGATAGATATTATTATTAAGCAAAAATCCCAAATTTTTTTTTTGGTTTCATGAAAGATCTGCAACATTCAGATATGGAATCAATTTACATAAGGTCTATTATACATTACCAGAAGTATTTTGAGGAAAGAGCAGGATGAAAAAAATTGTACTTTGTATATTTAAACCAAAGCTATCAAAGAATATTTAGATGAAGAGTTAGTTATTTACGAGATTTATCAAAATGAGTTGAAAGAAAAAATCAATCAATAGACAGACGTTAACAGAAACTTACCAAGAACCAAAAAAAGATGGATTTATCTAATGCTCATCTCAATTATAGGTTTTCACAATTTTGGACTAATAAATAAATTGCATTGCCTAGGTAATAAAAATACCAAGAATATGCGAAAATGAGACTTTAAGGAACCAAATTCGGAAAGGACCACACAGTAATGTCAATCTACATATTAAAACGCGTGTGTTATTCCCCAATCCATTTATTCTACAATTACAACCCATAGTTCCTTAAAATAATATTAAACCTGATATATTGATCGAGATTAGGGGTCAGGTTTAAATAAATTTATCATTTAACGGTATGCATTCCCCTTCCTGTTATCCCAATTGCAATGTCTGTGGTGGCAAAAAATCATTTCTACTTCCGGTACTTTCTCTACTCTATCCACTTTGCAAATCTCAAATGTCAAGTATTTATATGATAGTAATTATTCTTCAATTAAAGGGATACAGCACTCTTTCTTTGCCAATGCTGCCATTTCCTGTTAAATTCCTCATTTGTTAAGGCTCTACATGTGATGGTTGACTATTTCTCTGTTTCAAATAAGGTTGCTTGCCGAAACTAAGCGGTTTCGGCAGAGTGGCGTATGCGAAGCTGCCGAAATAGTTTTGACAAATTGTTCTGAAATGCCGAAAGTGCTGAAAGTGCCTATAGCTGACTTTTGGCATAATTGCTAGTAAGATTTTAATATAGTTTCGTCATATTTTATTAACCTAAAGGTTGGACATTGACTATTTTAGTTAACTAACTAATAGTATAATCGACTAAATTTTTTGATCAACTAATATTAATATTCAAATAAACAATCAACTAAATGATTATTTAGAGTTTCTATTCGTAATTCGTAATACAAATTCTTATTCAAATTATTCGTAATACTAATACTAATTCGAATAATTCGTTTTTGTCATTTTTGGCATTTTCGTCATTTTTGGACAGTTTCGGCATTTTGACAGTTTTGGCATTTTTGTCCGTTTGACATTTTGGCATTTTCGGCATTATGTATGAGGTTTTACCTTTCGGTATCAGGCTAAACAGATTTTGACGGGCAACCTTAGTTTCAAAAGACACAGGTGATACTATATAATTCAACTCTTCCAATAGGAGTGTCATTGTCTAATTAAATCAAAATTAAATACACAGTAAGTCTCGGTATAACGGATATGTTTGTTCCAGGAAATTTATCCGCTACACCGATTAAATCATGTGATACATGTTTACGTTAAAAAGCTAATTTTATTTTTAATAATATGAATGCAAATAATAATAATGATAATAAAAATACAGTTGGTAAAAAATTAAAAAAAAACAATTTCATTCACTTAAAACGTTGACATTATATTAATCTTTCATTCTTGTTTGCACTTGTTCTTGAGAATTTTTGTAAGAAATTTCACTTTTTAATCTTTTGACATTTCTAATAATTACTTGAAAATCATATCTAAAATTTTTTGCTGTACATATTTAAGTACAGTTTCTGGAGCTTTTACAGCTTCCATATTAGTGATCATTAGCTCAGGTTCATTTGTTTCATTTGTTTCATCGTCATCAACTTCACTTTGTCCTTTTACAATATTTACGATTTTAGCACATAAAGAAATAAAAGGAAATGACATGTTGATAGTGTCATTGCCAAGAAATAGCTAGCAATATGTTAGATTAAATTGTGGATGTATTGCTGATTATTACAATCCATTTTAAATAAATTGCGCGTCATTACTCTTATTGGCCAAAAATAGTGAAGATCCTCATTATCTGTAACATCGAGAAAAATTTATTACAAGTGATATATATGAATTTTTAAAAAATATCCGGATATTAATTTAAAGCTTTGCCATCAATTTCAGAAACCATCTACCATTATTATTTTGGATCGTTGATATTGCTTCTTCTTCCAATTTATTTATATCATCATTAGATGATGATGGAAGGTTATAAAAAGGATTCCGACGAAGATGATGTGTTTTGTGCAAGCAAATGCAAAGTCAAATTTTACTAGAGTAAAAACAAGTGGTGATAACTACCATTCTTATGATAAACACTCATTTATGTGTGTCTTTATTGTGAGGTTTCTTTCTTCCTTTATTCCCATCTGAGCATGATTTTTAGAAAAAAAGAATCACATAAACAAAATAAATAATAATAATTATTATTATTGGCACTTGGTGT